AGTCAACAGCTGAACAATTCATTCATTACACTAAAATACACATAATCCTTCAACAAATTTCTATATGCTAGTCCTCAAATTAGGCAATCCAAAGGTTTAAGCTGTACAAATTCTTATAGTGAGTGCATTTTAATAAAGTGTTGTTATACAATATTGTTGTAATGACATCATCCAAAATGCAAAAATAACATTCTTGTTTGAGAAAAGAGTTGTGGTATTAATGTCCATGACTGTTGGTTACAGCAAGATACATTTGTATTGTTGCAAATAGAAACCTCTAAGGTATTTATTAAGAGATATATGAAAAAAGTCACTGCGCAGGGTTTTTGTGCAAAGGTAAATCCTGAGCACTAAGTCCTACATGACACTGAACATGTCTTTATCATTTCAGATTGTTGTGTGGCTACCAGCTTACATACATACCATTACTATATTCAGTAACCTTTTCTATCATTCACACCTATTTTATCTACAACTATATAGGAATTTTAAATTTTACCATTAGGTGAATCTATCAGACTATTACAGTATGTGTTTTACATATTCAAGGCGAGAAATAAATTCTGGTATTTCTTTGAAATAAACATTCGAGCAATGCCTCCACTTTTCAAAATTAAGATTTCCTTTAAGTTTCCATAAACAATTAGGAAATTTGAACCCAATGCAATTCTCACAGATTTTTAAAATTTAATTAATTGTGCATGATGTTGATGTTTAGGAGCTGATATCCAGCCAAAAAGAGATTTGAGTCGTTTTGTAAGATGGCCAAAGTACATCAGACTTCAGAGGCAAAGAGCTGTGTTATACCAACGTCTGAAAGTGCCTCCATCCATCAATCAGTTCACACAAACTCTGGACAAGCAGACAGGTTTGTTTTACAAATTTATACTAAACTAAACTACCCTTACTTAATTTGTATTGGAAAGGTCTGTCGGTTCTCGAACATGCTGCTAAATTTAGCTTTTGTTTGTTTGTTCATCAATATGTTTGCTTTATCTTCTTGTATTTGTGTTTAATTGTTATGTTTGCTTTAATTTTAAAATAATTAGATATCCCATAAGTTGTAGTTCTCCAATAACAGGGTTCCAAAAAGGAATCTATGTGTGGAAATTCCAGTCATTTGTAACTATAGTACTCTATACTGTAGATCTATTTGGCAAACTTATAAAATAAATAAATGGCCTCAGCCTAAATTTCAATCTTGAGTTCTTTGTAGTTTTACATAGCAACAGTATAATATAAGTTTTGGTTTGTGGAAACACCACATATATTTATTATTGCAGTAGTGAATATATGTCGAAACTTAATGTTTTAGTCTCTGGTGGCAAAATATTTTGTTCATGTATTAAATTCAGACAACTGCATTTCTTTAGCCACACAGCTGTTCAAGCTTTTGCATAAGATACGTCCAGAGACTAAGGTAGAGAAGAAAGCACGTCTTACTGCCAAAGCTGAGAAGAAGGCACAAGGCAAAGAAGACACTCCAGGGAAAAAGCCAGTGACTGTAAAATTTGGAATCAATCATGTCACACAGCTTGTTGAAGAGAAAAAGGCTCAGCTTGTTGTGATTGCTCATGATGTTGATCCCATTGAGGTAATATATTACTTTTGCTTATATTGAGTCATTCCAAAAAACATCCTCACCTCTGTGTAAATGGGAAGTAAATCGCACATTCCTCATCCCATTAAAGGGTTAAATTGGAAAGACAATAAATTTGGATCATAATGTGTTAAAAAGGTTATCATGTCATTTTCAATCCAGCTTAGTGTTCAACACCAATCCCTACCAATACAATCAATGCATGGTTGTAGTGCACCTCTCTGATACAACATTGAACCTCACATCCAAATTATATACCAATGCCTAAAATGCAAGCCTATTTCAACCCAAATTTGAATTTGGTAAGCCAATAGGATGACCATGTATGCATGTTAAAGTTAGCGCTTCCATTTAGAGGGTATGCCCAAATTAGGCAATCTAAAGCCTTGCAAATTTTTATAGTAAGTGCATTTTAATAAAGTGTTGTTACACAATATTATTGTAATGACATCATCCAAAATGCAAAAGTAACATTCTTGTTTGAGAAAACAGTTGTGGTATTAATGTCCATGACTGTTGGTTATAGCAAGATACATTTGTATTGTTGCAAATAGAAACCTCTAAGGTATTTATTAAGAGATATATGAAAAAAGCCACTACCCAGGGTTTTTGTGCAAAGGCAAAACCTGCTAAATCCTACATGACACTGAACATGTCTTTATCATTTCAGATTGTTGTGTGGCTACCAGCTTTGTGCAGAAAGATGAATGTCCCATACTGTATTGTCAAAGGCAAAGCGAGGTTAGCTGTTGTTTATAATAAAAATACTTTGTATGTAGCTATGGTGTTTGTCAGTATAATTTCCCCTTAGTGGCATGTGAGAAAAGTGCTTAAGTTTAAGAAAAAATAGAAGAGGATAGCTTGGTTTTAAACTGAGTTCAATAGAATCCTGAAAACTTGGTCTGACATAATTGGACACTAACGATTTTCCGATCTGTAACTTTGGTGTGCTGTAATGAAAAGCCTCTGAGAGGTAGGGGCAACGGATATCGCATTAGGAACTTTGTGAAAGTCTAAAAGCTTTATTTCATGTGTAAGAGACAGTAAGAGAGAATGTGGAAAAATATTTGGCTATAACCTCCATGCAGACAGAAGCCCTGTTTACACTACGCTCAATTTTTGGTATGGCACGGATAAAATTAGTACTTTTTTGTTCTTGGACTACCTATATTTTGAGCCCCGTTTACACTACGCTCGATTTTTGGTACCATACCAAGAACCAAAAAAGTGGTACGAGTACCAATTTTATCCGTGCCGTATCAAAAATTGAGCATAGTGTAAACGGGGCTAGAGTCGGTGCAATCAATTTATTGGCCGATGACAGGCTACATATTGATTACAATGAACACTGGCTTTAAACTAAAACTTGTTCAAAATTGCTTCCTGAGCAAAATCGCACTTGGGAGACCTTTCTTCCCAAATGCAATTAACGAATTTGTAAAACACTCCACTGTTGTTTTAGATTGGGTAAAGTTGTGCATAAAAAGACGGCAACAGCACTGTGCATCACCACGGTGAAGCCAGAAGATAAGCACACTCTTAACAATCTCATTGATGCAGTGAAGACAAATTATAATGACCGTTATGATGAGATCAGGCGTCACTGGGGCGGTGGAATTATGGGGGTCAAATCCCAGGCCGTTACAGATCGACTAGAACGTGCAAAGTTGAAAGAAGTTAAGATGGCATAACTTTCATGTTATAATGGTGGTAATGATGGTAATAAATGAATTATGGAAGTTTCTTGTGTTGATATTATTTTATGATATTGCTTTGTTACATGTCTGTATATTTAATTTTTGGCTGCAGCCACAAATAATATATGTATAGGCCGTGGTGAGCGAAGCAAGCAAGCTGACGTTTATGTTCTGTTCTGTCCACGCAAAAGCGCATACTTTGTGTAAAGGATTAGTGTCACACCAGGAATTCGCGGGCTCAAACTCCTGCTGGCGGCCATTTTTCGGGACGAATAGATTAGATGGTCTGGAAAGTTTTTTACAATCTATCACATATTTAAACCATCCGTTTTTATTAGAAATGTACCAAACAAGGTATTTTTATCGCTATTTGTTGTATTTGAGTAAAATGTAAACAATAGCAAAAGCCCGCAATGCAAGACCCTGACACTAACCTTTAATATTAACATTGACGTTCTGTTTCAACGTCACAACTTGTCAACATGATGTGGTCGCAACAGGCATGTAGCAAGGCTGCAAGCTTGTCAACAAGTTGTAACAACGCTGTTATTTTATCAACCTTCTACAAAGTTGTCACTCACAACGTGTTGACAAGTTGTTGAATTGCAGGACGATAACAAGTTGTTGAGACAACTTGTAACCAGTCTGTTGAGCTCAACAACCTTGTAGCAAGTTGTCAACAAGCTGGGAACAAGCAGTGCGAACACATCCTGTTGACAAGTTGTTGGAAGAGCATTGCTATACAAGTCTGCTGCAGGTTTGTTACAACATGTGCGTTTTTACGTGCGAAGACAAGTAAATGCAATCACCTACGATTTCAGTTCTGGCTTATTAATCTTAAATGTAAAAATTCTCGTTGATCTGTTGCCAAAACTAGGGTTAAGTACTCTGTGCATATATGTACCCTATTATACACACCAAAAGAGTTGTATGCTGTTGCAATGTCTAAAGCCTGGCGCACATGATGCGATTTTAGTCGGCCGATAAAAATCGTTTGATATACCGATATACATCGGATTACGAAAAAAATACGCTCCCTGAACTGTAGCCGCCATGTTGCCAAATAAATACAAGCACGTGATCACATCATGAAATCTGATTGGTTATACTTAAAATTCCACTGATAAAAATCGTATAATATCAAAACGTTTTGATGTTGTCCGATTAAAATCGAGCAACAAAAATCGGTTAAAAGTGACACCGCACACACAGCGATTTTGTTAGTTTTAGTCAAACAATTTTTATCGGCCGACTAAAATCGCATCGTGTGCGCCAGGCTTTCTCGGTTTTCACACGCTTGGAATTTGCTATCAAGGGAGTAAAAATTTGCACTAGTATGCCTAGAGTTTTAGGTAAAATGCTCCAACATTTTTTGCACGATTCCTCTCATTTCAATAAGGTATAGGTTGCCATTATTCGAACACACGGCAAGTTGAGACATGTCCGGAGAAAACCGACAACAGAGAAGTTGATCCTCGGATTCAATTTCATTATCCATTGTCCTTATCTTCCGTAACTCTGATCCATCTTGCATATCCCAAAATCTAAATGAAAGTTAGAAAATATCACAGACACTGTTACTCGGTGATTGGTCCAATTCATATCCAGAGATGGTCAATCGTCAAGTAATCACAAAGGCCAGTGGCGGCGGAGCAGTTGTTATTTTGGGGGGCATTACATGTTTTTCCCGGAAATGTTGGAAGGAGGAATAAAATTTTCCGGACCTAACATATTTCCAACTTCACATCTTTGATACATTATTCACTACCTCGTCCCAATGAATGGCCTTCGCTCGAAACGCCAATTTAACCACATCATTACCTGACAGTCTTGTCACTAGAGCAAGACACCAGAATAGTTCTATCACCCAAAGGTCGAGTATCGCAAGACCATACATTATTAAGGTGGCCTGTGAACGTTTTTGTGTTGGCCAAAGTCACTCGGTCCCAAACCTTGACAGTTCTATCATCAGAACACGACAATACCAATTCATCGTCTGTTCCGGAAAAGCAACAATAATTTACCCGGCTTCTATGTTTGGCTAAAATTTTAAGTTTACGTTCAGATTTGTCTGAATAATTTTCAAGAATTTGAACCGTCCAGTCGCGACCACAAGTCACCAAACTTTGCCCATTATTGGAAAACGAAACATGGTCAACATTATTTTGATGATTTTCGATAGTTTGTTCAACGCTTAGTGTTTTCCAATTCCAAATTTTCACGCTGTTGTCTGATGACGCTGACGCTAGTTTCCAAGACGACCAACTTTGGTGAAATGTGCATGACCATACAGTTTTGGTGTGCCCTTTGAATGTGGCTACCTCACCTTGAACGCGTTGGTCCCAAATGCGCACCGTTTTATCACTCGAAGCAGAACAAATGTATATACCAAACGGGCTGAAATCGCATGACCATACTTCAGCGTCATGTTTTCCAATAGTTTGTGTTTTTTGACCAGTTTGTGTGTCCCATAACAAAACCGTTTGGTCTCCACTACAAGATACAATGCGTGAACTGTCCGCGGAGTAGCAGCAATCTTCTACAAAATTTGAATGGCCATTTAGCCGCAAAATATCCGGATAATCCATTCAATTGTAAACTTTTTTATTCATGTGCGCCTTGTCTTTGAATTTTTGAATAATTTGCGTAAATTTTAGAATAATTTCCGCTTATGACGTTGGTTACCATGGCGATTTCTGAAGCTTACGAACTGCCGCTGACCACGGCCAGCAATTCGAAAGAGCCAATTAAGATGGCGGCTTTCAGGCGCGGAAAAGTACAAAATTTAGCTTGAATTTTCTACACTTTTTACTCGTTTTAATTTTGATTTTGTTCTTTCAAATGAAAGAATGAAAGCTGTACATTATGTAGATATTGTTAAAATATTTTGTCTAATTTCACAGTAGTTTAAAATGGGCACTAAAAAGTCCAAACCGAAGCGTGGTTCTAGGTATGAAAATGATACTACTGCAACAACGAATATTCCTGGGTTGCAGACGGATGGAACTGAAGTCAAAAAGTTCCAACAAGTTCACGAAGATAGAGTGTCGTGTGTTGCTGCGTATAAACCTGGAGTTTGCGTCTCTGGAGGCACCGACACGGTGAGAAATACTCAGAAAATATAGTGTTTATATTATGTCGGCTTAATTTATGTGCACTGCAGTCAGCAGGTGTTTTTCACTTGCTAAGGGGGCAAATTTGCAGTATCCCGATATCCACAGGATACTAGAAATTTGGATACTGGACACCGTGTCTGTATTTTCAGATTTTGCATATACTCTTCCAGTGACTTTGTTTCTTTTGTATTAATTTGAAAGCTTGTTTTGCCTCAACTGTTTCAATGTTTGGTTTATACTGCTTGCTAGGATATCTATTATCAAAATGTAGGATATTAGATTTTATCTATTAAATAGTATCCCATTGGATAGTACTGAGAATTCCAAATTTTGAGCCCAGAAATGGCATCATTAACAATAGGCATATGCAAAAACTGTAAAATTTCCAGCTCCCCCCATTTGATCCTAGAGGTTCAGATTTGACTACCACTACCATTAAGAGACCATTAACCAATCAGATGCATTTGATCAATCCGGTGCATGCTAAGCCAGTTAGAAGTAGTGGTAGCGGAGGTCAAATCTGAACCTCTAATATAAAATGGATTACCCAAAACTGATCTATTAGATCAGTGAGATCACCCCAGCCTGCACAGTTGGACAGTTTTATACAAGATTTAGGATGGGTGGAAAAGCTACAAATTGAGGAGCATGTTGCCTGGAGACCTTGTAGCCAAGATGCTTAGATGCCAAATAGTCATACCAAAACACATTCCACCTACAGCAGCTAATATAAATATATGATTCATTCTTTAGAATGTAGGAATTTTTAACTATGAAGAAGGAAAATTATGCACAAGATGGAAAGCACATGACAAGGATATTACTAAGGTTTGCCTTTTAAGTTGGAATGTACCCTAATGAGCCCTACTCTATTATCTACTCTTTCTAACTTCAGATGATTTTACTCCTCAAGGGGAGAGTACGAGTGCTGTCACTTACTGGGTTGTTAGTATAATGGCCATTTTCATTTCCTATTGAGCTTTGAGCTCAGGTGTGATATAAATAATTTGGCAAGTAAAGGTTTCTCTGATATATAGCAGTGATGTTTTCCAGGGGGAACACAGGGGAACGCCGTCCCCCCACCTTTTTTACCAGGGGAACGGCATCCCCCCTGCCAAAATCAAACATGGGGGAACGGCGTTCCCCCTGGCAGGGATTAAATATGAGTGAAATTTAGTGAACGCTGTTCGACACCGTCCAAATAATTTTGGCTATCACTTGTACAGTCAGTACAGACGTTGTACTACATACGTGATATTTTTGACAATAATTGCTCCGCAGTCCTACGTAGAAATACTTCAGAATGTAATTTTGTCACTATTTTAATCTCCCTGGAACTTGATATACTTGCAGAAAATTCTAGCAGACTAGCTTGATATAACTACTTATTGTCACAAGTGTGGATAACGTCAGGCAGCAGCCCAGCAGGATATAATTACTCTAGTCTTTCGCGCAATCGCAAAATTAATTAAACATTAAAATGATCAATTGGAACATAAAATGATTCAATAAGAACACTGACATGATTAAATGGGAAAAATTCAAGGATATTTATTATCTAAGCTTATTTAGTTACTCGCGAAAATGTCATATTTAACTTGCAAAGTTGCCTGCTTGCTGAGTTGCCGCATACTCAGTGCTCGCATAGCGCTAATTACATCGTCGAAATTCGAAAAACAACGTAGTTTTATTTACTTTTTGGCATCTACCGCGAGCAAGCTAGGTGTTTTTTAGGTATCATGTTCTACTAAATCCACTTCAAAGATTAAGCTATTACGAGTATGTACATGTTCGTTATGACCGTGCATGAGGCCACGCCCAATCGAGTGACCACGCCCATTTGATTTTCAAGAGCGTCCCCCCACTTCTAAAATTAGGACAACATCGCTGATATATAGTCTCTTCTAATAAGTTTTGAACAGTGCTGGTGTAGTTTATAGCGAAAAATACAAAGTGCAAACATAGACGATGCAACAACTTGAAAATGTTTTTTGTATTTTTCATGTAGTTTCATCTTATAATAAGTGGCCATCTTTTAATTAGCATCTACCTTTAATTAGCAACCCTCTCCTAATAAGCACCTATTCTAATTGGCAACCCTCTTCTAATTAGAATTTCTCTTCTAATTACATTTCTTTTCTAATTAGCACCCTTAGTGTTCCTCTTCTTATTAGCGTTTCTTTTCTAATGAGCATTCCTCTTCTAATTAGTGTTCCTCTTCTAATTAGTGTTCTTCCAATTAGTGTTCCTCTTCTAATTAGCATCCCTCTTTTAATTAGCATTTCTCTTCTAATTAGCGTCCCTCTTCTAATTAGCGTCCCTCTTCTAATTAGTGTCCCTCTTTTAATTAGCTTTCCGCTTCTAATTAGCATCCCTGTTCTAATTAGTGTTCCTCTTCTAATTAATGTTCCTTTTCTAATTAGTGTTCCCCTTCTAATTAGTATCCCTTTTCTACTTAGTGTTTCTTTTCTAATTAGCACCCCCCTTTTAATTAGCATCCTTCTAATTAGTGTTCCCCTTCTAATTAGCACCCCTCTTCTAATTAGTGTTCCTCTTCTAATTAAAATCCCTCTTCTAATTAGTGTTCCTCTTCTAATTAGCATCCCTCTTCTAATTAGCATCCCTCTTCTAATTAGCATCCCTCTCCTAATTAGCATCCCTCTACTAATTAGCATTCCTCTTCTAATTAGCATTCCTCTTTTAATTTGCATCCCTCTAATAATTAGTACCCCTCTTCTAAAGAGCATCTCTTTTCTAATTAATACGCTTTTCTAATTAGTGCCCCTCTTCTAATAAGTTCTCTCTCTAATTAGTACCATCTATAATTGATATTCCTCTCAAATCTACATCTTTTTAAACGACCACCTCTCAAATACAGAATATACCATTGATATGTTTACTTTTTAATGATCTTAGGTTTGCTGCAGTTGTCTTCAAGGTCAATCATTGGTGTTCAGCTCGTCAAGAGACAAAACAATCAAATCTTGGTTAATTAATGACAACAATGTCATTCAACTGCAGTGTGTTTATGATGGCCATGAATTAGTAGTCACTGCTATTGATATAAATTCTGGTAGGCTGACCAATATATTCAAAATTTCTCCTTATGTCGCTGTTAATCTCCAGATAAAAGGCATACAGCAATTTTCGTCCAAGCACAAACCGCAAACATTTTCGCGCGTTTGTTTACGTTTGAAACGGGGCGTTTACCGTTGGAAACTGAAATGTTTCACTGCTCATGTGACGTGTCACATTGAAAAGCCTTAAGCTATTTTTGGCGCAACTG